GACAAATTAGAATTGTTAGCCATTTCATTTTTAAGCCATCTAAACCCAAGGACAGAGTGGAAAGCGCTCAAGGAGCAGTATGGCATACCATAACGATTTGGGAAAAAGGATGCATGGGTGGGTGGGCAGGAACCAGGGAGCACCTGGTACTCACAGTCTCAATGGCACAAAGCCACTGTTGTGCCTGTGATCCCAGGCAAGGGTGGAATGTTTGTCCACATGGGAGAAGCCACCAGCAGCAGAGCTCCTACACATGCCCAGGGTCTGGTCAGTGATGGCAGTCACTGTTAGGAAAAGAGGTAGTTCCTAGCACAGGACAAAGCAAAAATATCCCCATAAACAGAGCTATAATTAAGCCAGAAGCACACCCAGAGCTTGTCACTCAGCCTTCTCTACACTTCATTTTGGCAAATAAAGAACCATTCCAGGAAAAGTATAAACATCCAGTTGTGACCCCATAAAAACTCAATTACGTAGGAGTTAACGTCAATATAAAACAGCTTTTTACATTTACTGTAAATCTGAGTGTTTAAAACTGCGTTCTCTTGCTGTAGATTAGGCAACCAAATTTGAGCTTTAGAGCTTTTAAGGGAGGCAAAGGTTTTCTTCTGCCTCCTTCTGTAAGGAATTTCATCTCCTACCCAATCAATTAGGCATCTACTCCAAAGAAGCCTCTTGCCCAGTGCTTCCTGCACCTTTCTTTGGGGAAGCAACCAGAGCACATCTCCAGTTGAGCTGAGGCAGGACAACACCCAACAGATTTTAAATGCAGCACCATTTAAAATGTACCAGTTTATGCACACATATCTTGAACCTGGATATATGCCTTGGCACCCTGGGGTTGAAATTTGGGCTTTTGTTTAGGTATCACTCAGACTCAAGTCCATCATTAGGTTTATGAGGCATTGTTTGCTAAGGCACCTCTACAGCAACACTCCCAAAATCACAAGTTCTCAGGTATTAGTGGTTTTCCCTCATGGCCTGGGTTTTTGGCTTGTCTTCTGAACCATCTAGGAGTGGCACTAAGGCTGACTCCTGGAAGACACCATAAAGCAGAGGTGTCCAGCCTTCCAAACTCTAGCTAGCTGTACACTAAAATCTTTGCACAGCCAAGAACCACAAGTCACACGCTGCAGATTGGGAGAGCTGAACAGAGCCCAAGAACACTTTACAGGCAGATGACAGCAAGTTACTCTGAAGTACCACTGGGACACTGGGCTGGATCTCTCACACAGCTCTCAGTGACCCTCTGCCACCAAATTTGGCCTCCCTCTACTTGAAGCAATTAACAATTGAAGTTCTGAGCCAGCCCAACACTGGTCATGAAACAAAATCATGACTTGAACAGCTTGTAGTCCACATGTGGTTCTGGCACTACAAGCCGAATCCCTTGGGCAATGACTTTCAGGTTTTTGTGATTTTGACATTTTGTTTTTTAAAATAATGACTTTATTCCTCACATTTATTAGCACTCAGATCCACTGTACACAGTACTTGTTTCCTCCACATTGCTCTTGCTGCAATTTCTGGAACCACCTTTCCTTGCGTCCATTTCTGTCCATGTTTGATACTGGTTTCAACCAGCCATGGTCAAACCACACCCTATACGACAGCAGACCATGGAATATGCACTGCATCAAGCCATCTTGCTGAAGCAGTGGTTTGTAATATGGTTTCTGGTTGATTGTTTGAAAATTCCTATCCACAAGAGACACTGAAATAGTGCTAAAAGGCAGGCTAGCTCCAGAAACGTTAGGATGTTTGTGCTGCAGACTTCTGGACAGTGTAGTTCTGTTGACAGATGTGATCCCCAACCAAAGGAGAAATGCCAGCAGCAGCTTGCAAGGACAGCACCTTTACCAGTCTCATGGACTGAAGGTGGAGTGGTATTGAGACACCACACTAATAAGCCTGTACTTTGTCCCATCAGATGAGTAATCCTCCTGAGATCCAGTAAAGACCTCTTAATGAAGGAACTGCCCTAAGGATCAACAAACTAATACTGTGTTCAATTTGGCTTCAGTTTCTCAAGGAATGTGGGAAGGCGGGAGAGGAAAGAGATTGGGACTGACAAGTGTAATGAGTCAGTCTTTGGAAACCAAGTTACAGAGTTGACTCTGGTTACCTCATTTAGAGGTTGGTTCTAGAGTTGTGGCCAGAGAGCACTCATGGTTTCAAACTGGAACAGACAAACTTGGAACTCTGCCACTATTGAATGTCCCCAAGTCAGCAGCTAAGATCACTCCATTATGCTCCCTCGAAAATCCTTCCCCTGCCCTTTTGGGCAAACACTGGTCTCTGGTTTCCAGCTCCAGAGTCCTCCGACACCATCCTTGGGGAGAGTCCAGGCCAAAGATCTCTTCCTCCTCAACACCACTGACAGACCTCTGGGTCTATTCTGCAAGAAGCAAGGCCCAAGAGAGGCCGCTATGCCTCACAAGCCTGGAGCCCTCTTCCACTTGTACACAAACACAGCCACTTGGACAATCCTCCTTCCTAGCCCATATGAAGTCTTTTCAGATCTCACGTGAAACTCTCCACTGATTCCTCTTCTATCTCTGCTATGCAACTTGGCCTTCAATTTGCTACTCAGTACTTCCAGCTTTCCACAGCCAATAGGTCAGGTCATTCCTAAGCTGGTCCACTCATCACCACAGAACCAGTCACGTGTGGAAAATGTGTTTCGGGACAGCAAGCAGAGCTGCTTCACAGTGACAAAAATTCATAACTGAGTGGTGAAGAGCTAAAGCTGAGAAGGAAGATTTGAATAGCAAGCAGCAAGAATCACCCAGCAAGGAGAAAACCCCAAAGCCCTTACTCACAATTTGAGAAAGTAACCACACTGGATGTGAATTGCTTTGCTGGTGCTGCTGGGACAGCCACTGTCTTTGTATCTAACTTCCTACAAGCCAGCCATGACTGACACACAGGCAGGGCAGAGGGACATTCATTAATTAAGTTACCCATTTGCTAGAGTAATCCATCACAACACTCAAGAAGGGAAGTTTTATGTAACAGTGCTTGGCCAATCCATGATAAACACAGAGGGAGGTTAAGGTGCAAGAGGTGTCCCTTTACTTCGAGCCAGCACAAGCTGATAAGGTATAAGGAATGGTCTTAAATTTCTTCACAAGATGTAGCTTTGTAGCTAGGTCACAGTGCTCTGGAATCAGCCAGTTCTTCCCGAAGCCACAAGCACTGGTTCCAGAAACCTCAGCTGCCTCAAGGTCCCCTTCATGCACCTCCTCAAGCTCATAGAACATAACTCTACTAAGGGGATTCATTTTCTGGCAGAGCCTTTAAATCCTCATCCCTTTTTGACCCATGGCAATGTTCTCACCAATAGCCCACTAACAGAAACTAGATACTCCAGCTTCCCAACACAGCCCCTCTGCACAGCTCCTGCCAGCCTCATCCCTGCTTTGCCCCTCCAGGCCTGCCCAGCTTCATGCTCTCTGTATTCTGCAAAGACACATCCCACCTTGAGGGAGGAAAGATAGATGATATCCAAGAAATGACAATGAAACAGGAAACAGTGCCAAGATGTAGCAGTAGACAACTCCTTGCAATAGTAAGCAGGACAAAGCCTAACACAACACGGTCTATCTAAAAGGCAGTAACAGTCTTACTTTGCAAAGGGAAACATGGACTGCTCATGGTATTGCATTAAAAGCTGTCTAACGTTTTCCCTGCCAAGGTAAAAAAAGTAGGCACTGCTTCAAGTATGCTAAAATACTTGGCTGTCAACAGATTTTCATTTAAAAAAAAAATCTTTTATTCCAATACAGGAAAGAATTGTGTTTCATAGGAAGACTCATCTCAATCTCACAACTGATATGCCCCATTATAACCTCCTGGGATCTGTTTAGATGTTTATTCATTCTGTTTAGATGAATAAACTGAGATGACACAGTCACATATCACAAGCATCTTTTAATCCTGAGAGACAGAACAGTGCCAGCTTATGTGGCAGAAATACCTGGTTCCTTGGGCAGAGCCTGCAGTACTTCACTGATCTTTCTGTGGGGGTTCTATGGGTCTACCACCTGTCAACACAGATCCAGCAGCCAACTCCACCTGAGGTCAGAGTCCAAGGGAGGTCAGGACCCTGATTTCTACCAGCGTTAAGAGAAACCTATCCAAGGAGGCACCCAAGTCAGCATCCTACTCAGTGCATGAAGCTTAAAGAGATAGGGCAGTATCCTGAGGCAGGAAAGGATCTTAGTGAGAGGGCAGACAGCCTTCAGCTTGTTGTTAGGCCCTTTTTTCACAGCCTGGCAGAAATGGAGTGAAAATATGTTTTAGCATAATCTGTGCATTGAGAGGTCTGATCCCTTCAAGACCCATGCACAGGAGGTCCTATAAAGTGGCAGCCAAACACCAACCACAGATGTGTCTGCACAAATGCTGCCAAAGGGGGGAAAAGAAGAGAACACAGAGAAACAAAGTTTATCCAGGAATATGAACTATTCTGTGAGGTCAGCTATAGAAGACCTTGCGGCACTGAACCCTTGCAACTTGTCAAGGTAGGCACTGAGCAGAGCCACCAGCCAGCCTGTTGGAAAGATGTCACTCTGCCCAGACCTCAGAGCAGCCCTTGGATACCTGCTAAATCATTCCCTGGCTATGCCCTCCAGCAGTGCTGGGGGACTTGCAGTGGTAAGAGCCCTACCCAGTCCAATCTGCTTCATCAGTCTGGCCTTGCGAGATGAAGGCAGGAGGATGCAGCTTAAGTTGTCTGAGATCAAACCAGTACTTTGCCACAGGGAACTGCCTTATAACACCACCTTAAGTCAACAGTTACATCAGTTATTTTAAAATAGTTGATAATCTGGTATCTAAATGCAGAAAATTAAATATTCCTCCTTTCCTCCACCCTCCTCCCACTTCTATCCCTCTTTTCCCATCCCACTGCCCTCCCAGTAAGGCAAAGTATAGGATCAAATCTCATGAACTGTTCCCAGGAAATATCCTCTCCTTCAGTGTACTGCAGGCCCTACCTTGGTTGAGGTAGGTCAGAGTTTCTTCGTGCAGTTTCACGGCGGGGGAGGTGGCTGTGCAGAGGACATACTGGAAGGGTGGCAGTTTGGCATCATTCTCAGGAGACAGCTGCGGCTCTTCCTGCTTGAAGATCGGCAGCGCAAGGACATCTCTGCAACGTACAAGTTATACACAGTCAAAAAGAGTTTATGGACTATTCTAGCCTCAATCTGCATCTGGCTCTCATGATCTGAGGTAGCAGGGGTGGTCTCTGAAAAACACCTGGTTAAAATGGCTAAAAGAGGGAGAATTTGGCCTGTTTAATGTAACCAGGCAACTTCTGCATCTAGGATATCAACACTGTACACAAAAGAACATAGCCCTGGCAAAACAGCATCTCTGAGAATTAAGCCAAATTTTTAATAAATAAATGAGATTTACTTTTCGGTTAAGCAGTCTTCTTGATGAGGAAAAAATATCAAAATAGATCCTTCATCCTTATGGACATATTTGATAAAGAGTTCTCAGGTTCTCAGATAAAAGCCTTTAAAAAAAAAAAAAAAAGACAAGAAAAGGCACTTTGACAGCCCAATGTCAGATCAGTAGAATGTCTTCAAGTCGCAGCCACGGGTGAGAAGTAGACACAGCCCTGGTGTACAAAGGCGGTATTCAGGTAAATGATAGATCAACAGCTGGATTAATTTATTCTTAATATCTCCCTGCATTCTAGTAAACCTGGTCCCAAGGAATCACACAGCTCTTAAGTCAGCACTGGGCTACCTTTGTAAATGCACACACAGGTGTGAGGGAGCAGCTTCACTAGGACCTGCACACAGCCTCAGCTCCCACTTCTTTACAAAATGCTGATAGTGACCTGCCTGCTGACTTGGTCCCAAGCTGATGCCAACCCACACTAATCCCCAAGCTGAACTGGTATTAGCAAGGCTGAGAGCTCAACAAATGATGAGTTGATTAGTACAAAATGAGATGCCAGGAATAAGCATTCTTATCTCAGCCTGTCTGGTACTGAAGAACCACATTAGTCTTCCTATGCCACTGACGCTGCTGATCATTGTGTCCACCTACTTAAAACATTAATACCCTTCCAAATTAGGAGGATTATACTGAACAGGGTGACAATTCAGAATGAGCGATTCTTTTTCTCCTCTATTTCTTCCACATGCACGAAGACTTGAGATTCTCTTTACACAGGCTGAAGTTCTGCTCCTTTTGACAACCCCATACACAAAATGCTCTAAGAAAACCATCCAGCAAGTACAGGCATGCAACCCTAAAAGGGCATTAATAATTTTTTCCTTGCCTGTTCAGTTAATGATCCACTCACAGGACTCACAACCTTGAAGGCTACCCAGGTCATCAGTGAAACAGTGCAGCAGTTTAGAATAAACTGCTTAAGTGCCTGGTTCAAACACAGGTACTCCTGTTTAATGGAAAATAGTGCCAGAGAGCAAATTGTGCCATTTCAGACGCAGATAGAAGAAAAGAAACACCCACCTCTGTTTCCATTCTCTCTTCCAACCCCACGCCCCCAGTATTATCAGCCACTCGAAGGCATCCAGCCCCATTTGCTTCCTGGCATTACTGACATAATCACAGCTCTTGCCTAACTGCTGCCACGGAGAGGGATTTTTTTTTCCTTAGCGATGATTTACTACAGCAATGAAGTGACAGAAATGCCTGCAGTAGATTTCTGAAATAGATAGCATTGCTCCACACACATGCAGGATCTGATACTGCTCTGGAGTCATTTCACTCAGCCCGGAGTCATCTCACTCAGCCTGGATGCCAACATTTGCTCCTAAGGATGCCAACATTTGCTCCTAACCCGCTCTGCACAATGCTCTCTGAATGCCTGTGGCTTTACAGATGAGAGCAGGTCAAAAGCTCCATCGCCTGGGAACTTCTGCAGTTCAGCAGAAGCAGTGCACAAAATCTGGCCTGGCTTTAACAGTTAGGGGTGAGGAATTTGTACATATACTCACCTGAAACAGCTGAGATATTTAGGCAAGGGGAAGTCAAAATTTAAATACCATATTTCACATCAGGTTCTTTGCACCCCTACACCTGCCAGCACAGCTGTCTGACCACTGAATTCTGCAAGCATGGAGGAATCCATGACTTGGTTTCTGGAAAGCTTCACCATATTAAAGCTCTAACAAAGCCACACAAGTTAATCACATTTTTATTCCTACAGCATTTAAAGTAACGGCCTGTGGTATAGCTGCTTTGGGTCAAGACCTTTTTAAGCATTCAACCTTACTATAAGTGTTTGGACCTTAGAATGAGATCAAAAGAATTTTTAAGTTATAAGTATATAAAGCCATCACAACACTTACTCAACTCTTCACTCAAGAGTTGCAAATCAAGTTTAGGGAAAAACCGGCTTTTACAACAGTTCCTATCCTTAAAAAAAAGGAAAACATTTAACTCCTTAAAACTCTCCCAATTTTCACCGTTATGCTAAAGATTTTACAGTTCTGGACTTAAATAACAATTCATTTGCATACCTGGAAGGAGAGCAAGTTAATTGAGAGTTCATTCTGCTGACAGAACAGAGAGTAAAACACGTACTGCATTTTCATAAGAAATTAATGAAAATTTGCAAGAATTTTTCTGTAGCATCATGTTGTTCCAGCTACAAATACCACTGAGGTACAGCAGAACTTACACGGATGTCTCAAATAGACAGAAAGCTCTCTATCTCTGCAAAATATAACTTACACAAACTTTTCTTACAGCAACTTCAAATATTGTACTATTTCAGCTTCTTGTACTGTTACTACAAAAGGCTATGGAAAGCCTTCAGAAAGGCAATGCTCAGCAGGAAAATGCCCCTGTTAGAAATGAATGTCTTGACACATTCTCATGGAAAGTGAATTGGCCAGAATTAGCCATCTCTACATAAAGAAACAAGGGTTTTGTTCAACCAACCTCTCCTGAAATACCTGAGGGCATTGTTGCCCTAGAAGTGGTTATAGGGATTTTAATCCCAGATAAAACCCAACATGTTAACAGCAGTAGATACTCACTAAAGCTGAAGCTTGTTCCTAAAACACTAACAGGTCACCTCCATATCAGCAGCCTTCCTGACAGAACAGATACCCTTTAACTCCAAACCAGCAACAAGCCAGCAAAAATAAGCTAATATGTTTTCTGGCCCATTAAACAGAATTTAAATTGTGGAGTAAAGCCTGACCTAGACCTGATGATCTTGTAGCACTCTTGCTACAAATCCATGGAGTTAATGCAGCAGCCTGACCACCGTAAACACCCTCTAATGGAGAATATGCTGATGCTCCTCTGCTAGTACCATTTTAACTGTCCTAAACTAATCAGATTTGCAAGTGCAAAGCAAGAGAGAACAGGACTTTTGCCACATACATGTTGTGAAACTGAGTTATTGACATAGAGGGAGGAGATGAAGAGTCTTGTACGAAGAAACGAAAAAGCTGCCAGAAGGCAAGGATCTCCCAATATTGTATCACTTGATAATGGGAGATTATTATTTAGTCCAAAATAAAATTCCTTTGCAAGTACACTATGTAGCAGGAATAGTCAAGATAGCGTGTCTCCTTGAAAAAGAAGCATTATCTGTATTCGAAGTGCTTCCCCAGACAAACTCAATGTTCTCTCAAGAGTGGTTATTTGGGGGTACATTTGAAAGTCAGAGTTCTTGGGCCACAGCCACGTTCTCCACTGCCACAATTCAGCAAAATCCCACTCCAGCAATAGTCACCAGCAGACGGCTGAGCTTTATATCTTCAGAAAGGAAATAATTCACAAACACCCAGCAAAACGGGAACTCCCAAAGTTGCCTACTTTGACATCGTTTGGAGGGAGGAAACACGGGCTTGCGCTACACATGTCACAGACTATTGTTCAGCAGCCCTTGTACTTAAATTAGGCACATTTAATTGAACGCAACTGTGCGGAGGCAGGAAAAAGCTGGTTTAGGCAAGTTCAGAAAGTGAAATTCTGGGCTTTTCACACATCGTCCTAAAACGCAGAGAAAGAAACCCCATCCCCAGAAAACTGGGTGCCTTCTCAGTTTGCCAACAGACGCTGTCCTAGACCTCCGACAGCGCTCCGCCGCTGCCGCACCTCCTCGCCCGGAGCTGCGCTACCCCAGCCCGGAGAGGACGGAACCCGGCACAAGCGATAAAGCAACGCTGCGGGGAGCTGCCTAACCAGGCGCTAAAACAAATAAAGAAGGAAAAAGAGACAGCAAAAAAGGAAAACGGTGTCTCAGACAGAGGGAGCGGCGGCGCTGGGCACCGGGAGGGAAGCGCGGGCAGGCGGCCGCGGGACGGGGCACCCGAGCGAACATCCCCGTGCCAGGGCTGCCGCCCGGACTCACCGCAGGTAGCTGCCGGTCGAGTGCTGGTTGTAATGCTCCGGCTGCGTGTGCCAAAACAGCATCTTGGGGGCGGCCGGCGGCGGTCCCTGCGCTGCGGAGCGGCGGCCGCGCTGCCCGCCCCACGGGTGCCCGGCACGGCTGCCGCCAGCTGGAGCCGCGGCCCCGCCGGCTCCCGGCGCTTTTATGGCTCAGCCCCGGCGGGCGCGGGTTGGCCGGGCCGGGCGCCGCAGCCGGGCGAGCCCTCCCCCGGCCCGCCCCGCGCCAGCCCCGGCCCGGCGGGCACGGGCCGCGGCCCCGGGGCGGAGCGCCGGCCCCCGCGCCGGGCGCGGTGAGGGGCCGGGGGGCCGGGGGGCCGGGGGGGCCCGAGGGGCCGGGCACGGCACCCCGGGCCATCCCCGGCTGTGCTGGAGCTGCCGCCGGGCCGCTGAGCTGTGGGCGAAACCGAGCCGCTCCATCCTACACCAGTGTGGAAGTCCTGCTCAGGTTCCTCGGCGGTCCCTGTTTTCCTTAAATGAGCCGCAGCTGATGGCTCCGTGCTGTCACTTACTCTCCCCTGTGCCTCATGTCAACGCCCTTTGTGTCGGGGTATTCTCCAACTGAGAGCAAGAGGCGAAGTTTTCCAGAGAAAGGTAGATGAAGAGGAGAACAGTGTCAGAAACTAAACTCACCCCTCACCCATTTGAAACCCTCCTGTCCTTTCTATCTCAACTCCCCGACACATACGGAGAAATCTATTTCTTTTCCATTTCAAATTGCAGATCCTGATCCTCGCCCACAAAGCTGCCCATAGCTGTCATTTTCCTAACTCTGTGCTCTCAGGGCTCTTTCATGTCCCACCAGTCATTCTCTGGTCTGATAGTTTGGAGGGGGGGAACAAAAGGGTAGAGGGACTCCCTGTTTAGTTCTTTCACACTGTCTATCCACCAGCAGAAATTGAAACAGATCCTTAGTTACTCTGAATCATTAAACATCTTTCAGTCAGTTCTTCAGGAGAGGGCTTCCTATCCCTGAGGTTCCTGGTCAAATTTCAGCTGAGAAAAAGGCACTTGACTCAGGGTACTTGTCAGCATTGACTGTCAGATTTCACCGTCGGATGAGTTTTTTCAGTCAGATGAATTTTCTATTTTCCTGCCATGATTATAGAATATTGCTATTGTCCTAGCATTTATAGATCATTGTTAGGTCAAGCCCAATATAGTCAGATGCAATATAACTATAGGCATTGGTTTTTTGCATCTTGAGATAAAGAACAAGGTAGCCCGAAAGGTAACTAAGCAGCTTTACAGAGGTGTTATGAGTAAAAGTTTTTAGGATGCATTGCTTACATCTGTTTGTCTCTGTTAATTTCAGAGTAAGAAATTGCACATATCAATGTCCCTTTATGGTGTCCTCGGTTACTACACAGTTAGACAAACACTGGCTCTAGCAAAGCAAAATGGCTGGAGTTATCTTTTTTATACTCTTGAAAATATTTAGCTCTGGTCACACAACATCTGAGACCTTGATTAAGCAAAGACTATATATAGCTCTTGGACAGAGAAACAAGGCAAAGTTTGCAGAGCCGTCCAAGGACTTCTCTAAATAGTAAATATCCTTCCACAGTTTAAGTAGTTCGCTGCACCTACTGGGGAAATATGAAGTCCATTGTGAAAGTAAATTGCCATACTGTATAGAACAAACGATCCCATCAAGTCTGGCGTGATATATTTGCTTTACTATCCTTCTAGAAAGTACATATGTTGGAATGAAAATTACTTTAAAATAATTTCACTCATTTCCTCTCTCGCTTGTTGATGAATGTAGAAAATAAGGTGAAATTTACTAATTAATTTTACAGAGACTCTGGCAGCAGCTCTCATTCCTGTCATTCCCATTCCTTTCTAAGCCAAATCTGATGAAGAAAAATACTTCTTTTTTCCTTGTCTACCTCTCCTGAAAGAAATCTCAGCCATTTCATGGTCTAACTGCTGCTCATCCCCCAGTGCAGAAGTTTGTGTCACAACATCAAATACCTTCTCCTGGCCTTCAGAACCCACCACATCACACAGGCCAAATTATCCTCTGCACCTCTCTCTCTGGGGCTCCCAGCATCTGCTCTTCCTCTTACCTTAACACAACCCCTCAGTGAAGAAAACTTCTCCATCACAGCTTTCTCACCCAAACTTCCCTTTACTTTCCTACTTCCTCCCAGATTAAAGTAATTTCTTTTCTGTGCTGATTGCTTTTCATCTCTCATTTTAGATGCTTGTTCAATTTTCCATGGTAAAATACTTTGATCATATGATTAAAAGGGATTGATTGAATATTTTGTTTGATGGATTTTTCTACTTGAGGTAATGCTACGAAGGAACCTTGGGATACTTTTTGTGTTGAAAAAAGGTATTTTAAAAAATCCTTTTCCTGTGGATGTTTGTACCTGGAAACCCAAGTAGCATGCCAGTGAGTTCAGTCCAAAAGTTCATTCTGCTGCTTCACTGTTTGTTGCAATCCCTTTAGCTAAGCACTGAGTGGGAAACTCTTTCATCTGCTTCACTGGAGAGTCAAGAAGTTTTGATCAGCTTTTCAGCACCTGGAACCAAACTAGCAGAATTTGCAGTGAAGTGACTGAGATACAGTCGCATATTCAGTTCCCTTTCTGCTCTGGAAGAACAATGTTCCCATTAGCCAAGGGTCTAAATGGATGTGAGCATTATAACACTGTAGAGATGGCTACCCATCTGTAAAAGAGGTGAAACTCTTGCATGAAACTGAAAAGAAACAGAACATCTCTATACCTTTCTGACTTCATCACAAACATCTGGGAAGTCTAACACGATGTTCTATATCAGTTTAGCAATTTTGTGTTCACAAAGCCCCAGATAACCTTGAAGGATCAAGGGTGAACATTATACTGTACCAAAGAGCTCCCAAAAGCAGCCACTTATTCAGGGATTACTCCACCTCCCTCCTGATGCACAGACCATAGAATCTGGGTGAACTGCAGGGATCTGAAATGAGCTGCAGAAACTTACTGAGATGGTCACCCAAGCACTGAATATGCTCTTGTGAAAAACAGTCAACATGTGCCTTTTGTGTTGCCTTTCTGTATATTTTAGGTCACAGGTTTCCAGCCTTTGACTTGGGGATCCTTGGGAGAGTTATATTGAAGGAAGCTCTGCAAGATAACCAAGAAATGTGACTGGGCTATGACTGGCTAAATTTGCTCAACTTTCCCCAGAAAATACTGAAGGCAGCAGAAAATAGAAAGGACTGCAAACCTGAGGTTTTAATCAACTGCAATATTATGAATGAAAAAAGGAACAGCTTTTACACAGCCCTTATTCTTTTAAATTGAGAAAAACATTGCTTTGTCTTTGACAGGGCTTGGGACTGCTTCCAGTTGCAAGTACAGGCTTTCACAGGTAGCCCACTGACCCTCAAGGTCTCCTCATTTATTCCATGCTGGTCCACTTTTCAGATGGAAACCAGCCTAGATGTGTTCCCATGGCCCTCAACAGAAGCTCTGGGCAGTGGCTACCACCAGGAGTATGAATGTAGTCGTGGTGTTAGAGCCAAGAAGGAGGACACTGAACTGGAAAAAGTGAGAATGAACAAGGTCTTGAAAGTGTGTATTATACTGACAGAAACACAAAACTTATTTTGGTTTTACAAGAGGAAGATTAACAGGTGACTCAAACATAGTTTATAAATACTCACATGGAAAATCAACATTTCATCAAATATGCTCCTGAACCTCAAAACAAGAGCCACAGAATAAACACTGCAAGTTAATAAAGTGAGGCTAAGAACAGGCTGCAGTGAAGTATGTATTATGTATTATTATGAGTATAACTTTCCCAAACTTTGTGGTTAAAGCCATCTCCCGCCATCCCTATTTTCTAAATATAATTACAAACTATTTTTTTTTCACCAAAAAAAAAAACAAAAAAAAATTGAACAGAAAGGGATTAATTTAGGTCCTGTGGACAGTTTGACAGAGAAGAGCAAAGAAGCTCACCACGACTCTTTACTCTTTCTATCTTTACAATCTCTGACGTCTCCTGCCAAAGGCTTCCAAAAGCCATCTTATTAAAGTCACCTCCCTGCTCTACCTCGTGAGTGTGGAGCAATGTGTCCCCTTCCCTGACAATCAAAATGCCCCGATGCTCGTATGTTGTGATGTGCTGTCAACACAATCAGCCTGACACAATGAGAACCACATTAACTGAACTTAATAGCAAAACAAATATCAGGAAGAATACCACACAGACTGGCTTATTTTCTTATCCAAGTCATTCATTAAAACCCTCACCATTTTCTTACTTATCAGAGGTCACCATCAAATTTCCAGCTGCCACTAAATTTCCAGGCACAACATAGCACTGATGTATCCACGAGGTCTTTTTGCCACAGAAATTAAGCCTCATTTGGGAGCTCTCCCCAGTGTCATATTAATCATTTTGACTGTCCTGATTTTATCACCAGAATCAAAATTTTCTTTCTTCCTGGTGAACATTTCTTTTAAAGTAATTTTGTTGTGGAAACAAAAAAAATATTTACACAATGAGGAAGATGGATGATTGGATGACAAAATAAGTGCTTTTTAAATGCTCATTATACATCTATTGGCATTGGCTGTCTCATTGTGAGCTACAGGCTGCAATCGTGGGGACACACAGTAGTCGTGTTTACATTGCTGCAATAGAGACCTCCAGAGCCAACAGCACAAGTCAGAAAGCAGCACATGACTTAGGGAAAAAAAAAAAAACCATAAGAATGAAAGAACAACAGCAGAAAAAAAAAATGTACTTTTTGAAACAGCTGTGCCCAGAACATGGCTGGGGGTTAGATATGGTCCCTCTGCCTGAGGTCACTATCTGTGCTGCGCTCCTGTCCTGGCTGGAGCAGTATGAATACATCACACCCTCACACACCAGGGTGGCAGGGCAGGGGAGACCTTCACTGCCTGGTGCTCTGGGGGGAGCAGTGGCAGGAGGTGAAGCATTGTCACTCAGAGCTGACAACAGCCCAGCTCTGCTCACAACTCTGCTGCCTTTGCTTCATAGCTGAAAAATTGTAGCTGGGCCAAAAATATCTGTGATGGCTGAGTGTATCCCACATCCGCCCACCAGCCTGGTCTGCAGGCCTGCCCCAAACACTGGTG